GATTTCTCTGTAACTTACGATTCACGTGGCTGCGTACGTTGATGACGATCATGTACGTTGCCAGAGGATAAAGTACTTTTCAAATCAGACCTCGGCTTCAGGTTCTGCCCCGATTTGCGGCTTAACAATTACAACGATGCCAGCAACCTACATTTAGCGGATATAACGAACAAGTTGTTCTTCGCGACATTTATTTTGAGAATGTAACGTAAATTGCGCAAGGAAAATATTTTTATAGACACAAACCATATCTTATTTAAGGATTACGATATTTAATTGTTATAATATAATTTGACTTTTAGAATTACCATATTTGCTGCTTTAATAGCATGTTTATATGCATATTAACATTCTGGTTAAAGAAATATAAAAAGGATGGATCATTACTGCTTATGAAATAATAGTAGTTATATGTCTTCCTATATGCAAGTTATAAATCTGCTGGTGGTACTACGATCTTTATTTTTCGTAGCACGTGCACGTAATGCATTCTCGAGAATATGAACAGGTAAGATGCGTATCGAAACAAGAGGATAGCTTGCACACGTAGCACCTGTTTTACGCGCGTCTTATATCACCATTATCTTTATCGATCAACTTCCTTCTTAGAAAATACGACACTGTTTAATGAAATCGAAGATATCATAACAGAACTTATATCGAACTCTTTATTAAATAACATACTATTTCATTAAAATGTAAATTATTTAAAATATTTAAAAAGAATAAATATAAAATAGAATATGAAAAAATAAATATATGTGGGAAATTATTTTTTGTAATCTTTTTCCACTTATTGTACTCTTAATTACTGTGATAAGAATCACGCTTTAATTTTTCTTTATTGTATTCCGATTTCACGAAACATAGTAGCGTTTGCTTTCTTAGGAAGAACATGATCGTATCACAATAATAAATTATTTTAAATAATAATAATTCAATAAAATTAACGAGGTTTATGTCATCATAGGCTATTCCATCTGTTTGTCGACCGTGTTGCGGATCCTTGTTGGTGCGTCGCACGCGTGATTATAAGAAACGCGTGATAAATATGTTAATTGAATAGTGCGAACCGTTACGCAGTTAGTCCACAAGACATCAATTGTATGTCGTCGACGGATAGCACCGTTCGATTGCGCGTTTGGAATGAAATGCCAATCGTGAGCTAAACACTCACTTTATCGCGCCAAATTAGGCGGATGACGCATGCATAACAATTCTTTTTTATCCTTTCAAGCCTACATATCTTAACAAAAATCATATATATATATATAATTATTTATATATATATTTTAACAATTATATATAATATATTATAATTTGATATTAACTTATAGAGGTATAACACAATTTATGTAGCCTCGAAAATAATTATTATTACATTGATATATAGAGTTATATAAAACAGATTAAGATTTATAATAGTAATTATACAATTTTGGTGAGTTCGAATTTCGATGTGATAGATATAAAAAGAATATTACAAACTCTGTTTATATATGATAATTGATTCATCTTTCTTCATTAATATCACCACAAGCTCAACTGCTCCTAATTTCTGAACATTTTATATATCGATAAAATTAAAATAATATTAAAATAGAATATCAAGCAATTCGAATTTGACTGTTTTAAAATTAAATAAAATTTAAAATAAAATAAAAACTATGCATCAACATTTGACGATAGCACGCAAGTTGCATACATCCTACATCCAAAGTCAACGACCCTCGCGCTCGCGCTGCAACGTCCGCTTTTGCCAAGTGCATGCGTGCAGTTGCAGCGCGTTTCTACAATTCCGTTGCATTCGATGCATCCATTTTTCGCCGCAAATCGATGCAAGACGAGATGCTAGACGATTTCACTGATTTCAGAACGCGCCTGTGTATATCTGATGAGAAACACTCGAGATTTGCGTTCCGCACGCGATTCGAACGCGCGATTCTTACGCAATGTGTAAATTGTATCAAGTATTCAATTTTATACTTTGCATCCTTGAAAATCGATATAAGTAAATGCGAAAAAAAGAGAAAAAGAAACTTATTTTTTCTTAATAAATGATTTATAAAAATTTATCTATAACATATATATTGTACAATATTATTTCTACGAGATATTAAATTTTCGTATGATATTTTTAAATTATTTCGATAAACTATATATATTAAAATTTGAAACATATATATACGTACATATAAATATGTGTAAATTTTTAATTTTTTATATACAGACAAAATTATAAGTTTTTGTTTTCTAACAAGTCACACACACACAAATCAAAGTTAAGGAAAAATTTATGAATATTAAAATCGTAAAAATTGAAAAAGTTGGTGCGTTTTTACAATTCATCGAAAGAAAGATCATTCGTTAAACGAGTGATTACACATGATACATGTATGTGTGCGCTAGACAATTCTTTTTGACAAAACGAAAAGAAAGAAATGAAAAGATTATTTTCCACAAGAGAAACAATTTTTTTGAAATGGAAGAATAACGAATGACGACAGCTGTTACACAATGATGACAAGTGAAATTCAGATAAAATTTACTTCCTTTTTTTCGGATTGGCACATATCATGCCGACCGTGAGCAACGCACACGAGTGCATAGCCGATGACTTCCTAGACAATTGCGCGATCGCCGCAGGATGTGAGCAGCTTGCGTTATCGCTTCCGTTACGTATCTTACCGGCGGTTTACATCCCTCGCTTTCTCGTGACCAGCTCGATACTTTTGCTCCGTTCGAAATTGCTGACAACCGTGTGTACGTATGAACACGTCAAATGACAGGGTGATGATAATGACGGGTTATTATCAAAACATGTATATGTTTCTGCGTTTCTTTCTCCCCACATAAACCAGTGAAACGTAACGAGACGAAAGGTATAATGTAATCAGAACTACCATGTGTGTGTCGAGAAGCATATCTGAATTTTTAGACACAAGATTGAATTATGCAGCGCTTCTATTATATTCGTTATACAAAAAAATCCAGATTAAAGAAAGACAGCGTTAAAATTTTTGACATTTTTGGAGTTTGGTGATTTATATTATTAACAATGAAAATGTTAATATAATTTTGGAACTATAAAATCTTAAAAGGGTTTTTTTTAAATAAGAGCAAAAATAATATAATCTGTTAATCTTTATTATATTTAAAATTAAATAAAAAATGTATGAATCATCTTCGTGGACGTTAGACGAGTTTATTGTATAGCATTATGTGTGTCTGTAAACTTATCCTACTTTGCAACACCTTTCGTAATCGCTGGCAACGGATGTATACTTAGACCAAACCTACGTTTTTCATTCGCGTCGCAGGAAAAAGCGAAGCAACAGACTATTTACGACTGGTTTCCTGTGTTCACTTTCGTTGTGCAAGGGACGATTGCTTACATAAAGAAGATCCTATATTCCGTATCTAGGGTAACGTGAAAAAATATCGCTACACATATTGCCTCGATGAATTTGAGCATTTTGCTCGGGAAGGTGACGAGACTCGCCGCGCATTGAAATCACCAGCTTGAAAAGCGGCAATCCGATGAGGCAATGCACATCCGCTTTGCATCGTACATATATGGTTGATGCGCTCGGTGCGTGATGATGTGAGATTGCGTGTCTTCGATACGGAGAAGAGATTGAAAAGAGCATGCTCGTCTAGCGCGTGCGATGCACTTGCGATGAACAGCCAGAGAACTGGTTGCATTACATCGTGCAATTAGTCATATGAGATTGAACTGTGCAGATAGTCGAGAGCCTATCCTTTATGAGGAACTTAACAGCTTTCGCGAGAATTTGCGCGCGACTATTTGAGGCAATTTAGTATGTAAAATGGATTTGATGCGTGATTAGACATGATCATTGAAAAAAACGCATTCAAATTATCGTTACGAGAGTATGCATTATATCCTTTTTGTAAAAAAGACTTGCAAATTAGCATATCATTGCACATTTTTCAAATTTGAACAATGAAATTTTATGGTTTTTGACGTATTCTATAGTTCTGTAACATAGTTCTGACCATAGGCTGTCACTAAATATATACTTAACCCAGAAAACTCGAATTTTCGAATATATGATAAGCGTAAAGATTTTTTTATATTTTGAAACCTGCTTAAATATATTCAACATATTAATTAATTATTAATAAAGCATTTTAATAATTATTTAATTTATGAATTATTTAATTATCTAATTTTTAAGTTATTTATCTATCTAAAGAGCCTTACTTTAGTATTATTATTTAATTTGTATTAATAATATATTATTTAAAGATTCATATTTTTAACAGTTATTAGCTGATTTCTGTCAAAAGATTAATGGAGTTCAATTTTTATTAATTTTTTTAATATCAATCTTTTTAATATAAAAGTAAAGAATGACACGCGCTTGTGTTGTTCTAGTATTTAAAAAATGAGATTAAAATGACATTCTTTCACGTCTAAATTCTTGGAAATATTTAATGAAACTTTGGAAGTATATCTCTAGTTTTTTTTAATTTATATTATATTATTTTTCTTATATGCAAATATGTAGACCGATCGATTAAAATTAAAAATGGAAACAAGAGCGTTCTGTAATAATTAGTATATCATTCTGGACAACTGTTGTCGCTATATGAGGGTAAAAGTGAAACCTTTCAACATTTATGAACTAGGTTTATTTAGATAGATTTTAATTATAGATATTTATATAGAAATGTAAAAATTAATATCTAATAAAATATTTTTTTATAAATGCTTCAAATAATGCTTTTATAAATGCTAACCAAAATTTCGTCTTGCACTTTATATTTTAATTTATGAAAGAGATTTTGTTTTTAGTTTATTAGAGAAAAGTAAACCTACACTAGTTCTTGTAAACCTACACTACATATATATATCTCTCTCACCTCTCTTTTCTTATAAAACGTATTTCAACACAAATAAATGATGTCGTTAATCGTGAAAAATTTGATAAAAATTATATTAAAATAACAAATCAATGTATGTTATGTTTCAGGTGTCAGTGGCGCTGGATGCGGTTATCCAGGTGCACCGGCACATAGCAGCGTACGTTTCACCGGCACAGACATCAACGATGTCATAGATGAGGAAGATGCCCTTCTTAAGGATACCACGTTACCGGAGGGTACCGTAGCTACGTATTCCTGTGAACGAGGATTCGAGCTATTGGGACCAGCGAGAAGAGAGTGCCAAGCCGATGGAATGTGGACACCGGAGGGTGTACCCTTCTGCGGTAAGTATTTTGTATATATTTTGATGCTTATCATTGTTTCAAATGTAAACCTATTTTTTTCGAGCGCCAAAGTTATATATTTACGGTGTTTCGTGAAGCATCATCTTGTCAAAATGTTGGGAGTTAGGTATAATAAATAAAAGATCTAAAAATAAGAAATGTGTGTGTGTGGAGATAAAGGCAGACTTTAAGAATACTCTAATTGGAGATGTTAAAAATTAAATAATAATTGAAAACAATATTGAAAAATAGAAAAAATTATAAAAAATAAAAAATTAATATATCTCATGTGTGACAATGTCCAATGATGTTGTGGATTATAGATTATGATGATAATTTAACAGGATAACTGTATAATATGATGTAATGATACAATGATGTAATACTGTCTGCAAGTACCATTAATTCTCTATACTATATAGGCTATTCAATTCTAGGCAGTCTTTCATTTATAGATTTTTTTGATCAATTTATGGATCATTTTTTTATATAGATTCTATTTTAAATTGATATTTTTAGCGGATCTTTTAACATTACATATAATTAATCCTCGACTTACAAAGTTACTAAAACAAGTTAAAGTGAGAATTTGAATAAAATTTAATTTTCAAATACTGTATTTTATTTTAAATCGTATATAATTCAATAACAATTAAATTTATTTCCACATTTCGGTTTTACACACAAATTGCTAAGTATCTGGAATAGTCTGTATATAGAAAAGGATCCTTCTTGTACATTATATATATGTATGTCAGAACGCGGAAATGTTCGATTTTCTAATTACGTTCAATGCGAAAGACCGATAGAGAGCGATGATATTGAATTTATATCCACGATGTTTCGGGAAGTTAAGTGACCTCGTTCTACGTGTCCTTGACCGAGCAGGCCCAGCGATGCTGGCACAAGAAATGCCATGCCGAAGTCGGTGGGGGCAGTGCACCGTTAACTCTGAACCTGTTACCAGCTAAGAGCGCCCGCGGCCTTCCCAATCTTACGCGCATTCCTCGCACAGGCTCGTCTTCAGACTCTTGTCCTTGGAACTCGCATCGGACGAATTTATTCTGTTTTTTGTACAACCCTCCTCCCGGAAATACTTTTGTCTTTACAAATATAATACCGTTTCATCTATTATCATCTGCCACTTATTTTGACTTGCAAATTTTTCTTCATTTCTTTCATGGTTTTTTATGAATAAATTGGAAAAAAAATATTTTATTTATTGTACGGGAAATAAAATGCTAATTTTTTTTTTGAAGTGACGTCAGTGAAATCCGTTGGCTCCATGATAAAAATAATTACCGCGCTCATTAGCGAGTCGTTCACGATCAAAGTATCTGATGTGCTTTTTTATACATGTATGTTATGTGTGTATGCTAAGATTTATGCTTTTCTTATTGATAAGATATCCAAACGATAATGATTGCCTTGTTTTTTTACACATGTTATGTATAGGTATTATTTATAGCGTGGAATGCGTTTTCTAGTCTTGCGGTCGATTATCTCAAGAATGAGGTGACCGATTCCTCCTCTAACGCATTTCGATTGAATATGCTAACCACACATCAGATCAAATACTTATTATATTTAGCTCAGAAATCTTTTACACACATCAAAGAAAAAAAATATTTTTGAAGACAAAACTTACATTATAAATATTTTTTTATCTTTTTTTTTAATAAATAATATTTATATTTTTTATTTGAATTTTATATCAAATTTATTAATAAATTTTTCATCCTTTGTTTGTTAGTTCTAAAAATATATTTTAAAATATTATGAATCAAGTACAAATATTAGTTATTTAAAATTGAAAATATTTACAAAATTTTCATTTTTTAATTGCTTACTTTTTACAAATTTTTCATACTTTGAAAGAACTTTATTAACAAATAAATTCTAAGATAGTTTAATTTGTTAAATAGAATAAACACTAACAGTTAATATGATAAATTAAAATATGTTAAAAAAAATATTATCTTAATCTTCTTTCTTTCTAAAAAATACTGTTGAAATGTATTATTATTCCAATATTATTTATTTTAATTGTCCTTTCATCTTCGTTTAGAAGTAGAATTAGAATCAGAGAAAAAAGTAAACCGCAAACCGACCCTATTTCTATTTCATCAGACAGCCATGCAATTAACTGACGATTGAATAAAATGCACTCATTTCCGGAAATGCACGACGTTGTTCTTGCTTCTATGGTAATACAATTTCTGCACGTGCGAAACGTATCGAAGTGAAAGAGTATGGTTTGAAAGAATCATTCGCGATGAAATCTCACGGTCACGCTTCGTGAACTCGATGACAGACCGAACTGGTCCAGGATCACGAGAAGTAGCGCCGTGATGTAGGCGGAAGTGGGTCGCGGCGTGGATTACGAGTACACAATATCGACACGCCCCGACAATTGCGAGGACTGTCTCTTCGTAAGGTGAAACAAACAAAACGTGAAAAAAGACACAAAAAAGAGATGCTCTTGTTAAATTAAATGCTTCATCGCCAAATCATCATTCTACACATATGCATATACACATACATTAAATATATGTAATACAAACTATTATAAATTATATAAAAAATAATATTAAGTTTTTTTAACCTCCCATTTAAAGTAAATTCTCAAAAAATATATATATATTTAAATTTTTTTATCGATGTAATTTTTGTATTCAATATGAATAAATTTAAATCTAAACCTACAAATATGATATCTAAGTTCAGGAATTGAATTTTTGTTCGTGTGATTGAAGTATCTAACATTGTGTGTGTGTGCTAGTTTGTCATATACTTCATATTTTCATAAATAAGATATAAATAAATGGAGTTCTTACAAAATAGAATGATTAATATAAATTAATCGCCGATAGATAATTTCTGATAATAATCAAATATTAATTAATATTATAAATATAACATTTCTGTAAAATTTTGATTATACATCACGTATCATTAAATTATCATTAAAGATAAATTATATTTTATTTAAAACATAATGTTATAGAGAATCTCTCTCTTTTCTCTCTCTCTCTCTCTCTCTCTCTCTCTCTCTCTCTCTCTCTCTCTCTCTCTCTCTTGCATATATTATATTTATGAGCACATATTGCTTTAGATTTATTTAAACGACGTTCTTACTGGAATAGAATTATAGGTCACGAGGTTCGCGGTTAGAACAAAAAAAGGGACAGACACGAGTGAAACTGTCTTGATCAGAAAGGCGGAACATAGTCTCTGAAATTATTTTCGAATTTCACGGTCTCCATGTAAAAATCGTTAACAACTTCCTAACCCAAATATTTTCAAGTGCTCGATTCTGTCTTTGCATGATAATATTGCAAATTATCCTCAGAACAATATTCAATCTTTAATTATATTTATTATACAATCATTTTATTACATTTTCTTGTTTAAATTTAGTTTTTATCTATATGTGTTTTATTTCATCTTCTGAATAAATATATTTTAGAAAAAATTATAAATGTTTTAAAAAAATAGTCAAACTTTGATATTAATTGACTGATACGACTTTGCAATCAGTTACACATATATATTTCACACATCTTGAAATAAATAATTTTCTCGGTAATTAAAATAATTAATAAATTATTCTCAAGTATCTCTTAAAAATATTCAAAAATGATAGTGTAAGTTTAGGAAGCAATTCGATAAAGCAGAATTTTGCACATTTCTGTGATATAATCTTTACATCTATTTCTCGGAAAAGGGAAATACGCATTACGGATTGATGATGTTATAATGACCGCGGCATTTCTTATGCACAGAGCAATAATCATTAAATGTTCACGGATCTTTTCGTCGTTGTTTTGATGATTGCAAGGCAAACACGGGCGCGAGTAACATTTGTGCGAAATTACTCGATTGCCCACTCAAGACAGTCGCAACAGTTTCTCGTGATCCGCCGACCGCGAGAGAGCAGGTTGCCACTTACGCAGCTATGCGTGAACTTGACTTTTCAAATGCGTACTTCTCGTTCGTTTTCCACGATAAGTTCGTCTTGCACGATAATTAGAGATAGAGAACTTATTTGCGATCAAACTTGATTAATGATGTCGCTATGAGGAGAATGTAGAAAAAGTAGAAGGAGATCGCAAAAGATTAATTCAAATTAAGAAGATTATATCTAATACTATGAAAAAAGCAGAGAAATATCGCTCACTTTATTAACACTTTTTTTTATTCTATATGCTATATAATAAAACTTTTAAAAATCAGATAAACTCGATGCTTATCTGTAGAATATTTTTTGTTTCTCTATTTTAAGGACCCATAAGCGGTATTTTGCGAAAGTAAGATTACATTTGTTCAGTGCTTAATAAAGAAGGAAACTTCCTGATTGCATTAAATTGTGCAACATATGCTTCAATAGGCGCAAGTTGCGGAAGAAATAATTGGAAAAAGGAGGGAGAGTTGAAAGAAAAGAGCTATCTATTATTATTATATAAAAACAGTTTTATGGACTTAGCAATTTTACGGACGAATGTATTTTTTTATATTGCATCGTTGATTTTTATTCATATCATTGATATTCATCAAAACCGTAATATGGCATACAAGAGTATGTAGCGATTAGTATGTCAACGTAGTATATTTTGCATCAATGATCGAATTGAAAAAATCGTACATTGTCAGTACTCTGCATTGAAAAATAATAAAATAGTCTTACAGACAGATGTAAGGAAACAATTGACTTTATAGACTTTATTGTATATAATGAAAAATAAAGTAACGCCACTCTCTCGTCGAAAAAAATTAATGCACACATATATTTAAAAAAAATCTATCTTTATTTATTCGAATAAAATATGTTTTAAGATTGTAATCATTTTTCTATTATTATAGTAATTATAAACTTTGATCTTCATATTAAGTTTATCATTTTCTTGACTTGAATTATTTTTCTTTCTAGTGTTCTATAAAATTCTCTCGATTATATAAGTATTCTATACAAATATTAATTTATAAATATTATATATATTAAACTAATTTTGAGAGAAAATAATTATTCAGAAATTAATTTAGGAATTGCAAATAAAAAATTGAATGTTACGATTAGATTAGAAGACACAATATTGTATATGATTATTTTCGTCGGAAGTATGTGGCAATACGGAATTGTTTTCCATATCTCTAATTTTGCGATACTGACGGAAACGATACGGGAACATAAAAATTATTTGCGTTTGCGTGTATAAGAAATAACTGTAAATTATAAGGTAAGCACGACGCGCGCTTACATACGTATACATATCTTGTGGGAACGTGCGCGGTATGCATGGACTTTCATGGGGGCGCTAGCCAGTATGTAGGTTTAGGTCGAGAATGCATTGATTATCGTTTTATGTGTCAAACCTACGCCTACTTGATAGAATCATGATTGCTTCGTTAAGAGAATTGCACAGGAGAGACGCGATTGATGCGCGAATGCACGATGAATATTTCAATCCTTTAAACTATATTAAGAATAATTATATTTTAATTAGAACACTTATAACAAAAGTAAGATGGATCTTAAATTCAATAATTTATAGCATTATTTTATTGCAATTTAATATGAAAAAAGATAAAGCTGATCCATTATCGTAATTTATGTCTATTTTTCATTATCCATTTCGGCAATTTCAAGCATTTTCATGTATCGTAATTAATTGATTAATTTCAGTTTTATGTAATTATATTGTGCACTTTTATTGATATTAAATATTAGTAATGTACAATTTAAAAAGTTTTTCTATTAGATGAAATAATGCAATGCAATGACTACAAGTCTTCAGAAAAATATTTTGATGAGAATAAAAATAACATTCATCAATATTTTATTCTTTTAAATGTATTAAAAAATTAAAACATACTATATATAAAAAAAAATAGAACTGGATAACATAAATAATTTAAATATATGAGAAGAAATCGTGTATAGCTACAATGATTTTTCATCCTTAAGAAGCTCGAGATACTGAATGCATTTTCAAAGTTCAAGAACAATGTACCCGTGATTGTATCTGACGTTAATTTAACAATTACTGACCTGAAATCAATTATACAACTTGACACTTTGCTATCTTTAACGACCACTAAGAGCTTTTTCTTCTACAGAGAGACAGAGGGTCGCGAAATACAATTAAGCCTGAAGATTAACCTTACCACATAAACCTGACCGCTATTTCCCAACGCTTATTATCGGGGGTATCTTAGAGATGTGCTCCACGCATATATACAGACGGACTTTCAGACAATCCTTTGTTCGCGTACCGGTCTTCTGCATACGACGAGCTTTTACCGTATTGTCTGCGCATCTCTCAATTGTTCCGCACAAGATTCCGCGAGATACTTTGGGGCCGTGGTAACAGATTGCATGCAGAAACACGTTGTATCTCAAAACAACACCACAAAATACTTACATCGGGTACGAATTATGCCGACCACGAAGAATATTACATATGCATGAGAAATTCATTAACACATTGTGTTTCTGACGTTACTTCTAACACAAGTAATTCGAGAAAAATTTTGCAATGATAATTAAATTAGATATCCCACCTACACAGATACATAAGACTCATATATTCAGAATTTATTGTTCATTGAATAACGTTTACGACAATAAAGTTATTCAAATAACATTGATATTAGATCATGAAATGATCTCATTTATGGAGATACGCAGGAAAAAGCTAAGTATTACTATCCTGTGTAAAAGTTTTGCAACGCGCGCGGGCAAGAACTCTTTTGATTAGCTCAGCTTTGTAGAGAAAGAATGAATCCTGTTAGTCGGATTCTGATTAGACATAATTAAGACAAGTGCTAAGGCGATGATCGAACATTACGCATCAGCGTATTGACGTCGATAAAATTCTCACGTTACGGTACAGTAAAACTACCGCAAGGCGGACAACTTGTTCGCGAATGCGCGGCATTTACTGCACACACAAAACTTGACGGCCACAGCAACACTCATCGTCGTCTACATCTGCGTGCCATACGGCTAGTCACCCGTGCGACGACGGCCAATATCTTTTTACCGGACAGAGATGGCAATGAGTTACGGTAATTTTCTCATAGAAAATTATTATCATTGCGTCATCGAACTATCTCGTGAAAAAAAAATATAACTAGCACACACACACACAGATACATGTACAATCATCTGACGCGTCATTTTGTTGCCTTGTAATGACAATGTCCTTAATTTAAATCAACGGCTAATATGTCAATTTGCGCATGTAATCTCAAGTTTTCTATTACCATGTAGACTCGTTAATTGGAACTTTAAGCGAGTTGTATCAGAAAGAAGATTAAAGTAATCAGCAAACAGTTTGCTAAAAAAAAAATAATAATTTATAATAATTATCGAGATAAATATCATTTTACATATTTATCTCGTTTATCTTTTATCAATTAAAATATCACTCGTTAAAAATACAAGAGAAAACTGTCCAACAACTTTTTAACGATGTACGATAGCCTTTTATGGAGGATTTTATTATGCATTTGAAAATGAGGATTCGCAGAATGCTATCGGGCTTCTTTATATTTAATCTCACAGAGTTTATTCACGGCAATTGCTGCGTGAAAAAGTTTAATTGCTTCCGACACATTTTTGCGGAAATAGTCCACTCTGTCTCAATTAACAAGCACAATGTGTGATCAATTGTATTAATTATTCATCGCAGTTCTGAACGTGGCTGGCGGCAAAGCACCGATGCAATCCAGCAGCGCGGAGGGCGGAATTCCGCAACGCGCCGTTGATGGAAGCAGCGGTCAGATTTACACGCCGCAAACTTGCACCCTGACGAGGCCCGAACGTAGACCGTGGTGGTACGTGAACCTGTTGGAACCGTATATGGTTCAGCTGGTGCGATTGGACTTCGGTAAACCGTGTTGCGGTAAGTAATATCGTATATTTCTCCGCTTCGTTGCTTGCGAGAATTTACCGTTTTGTGCAATAAAAGACTTTTCGCAAATTATAGGAAATATTTTTCAACTCCATCGTCGCATATAATTTCAACATTTAGCATATGCTCATATCACGTGCGTTTCATAAAAATATGGATATAATTGTAAATAAATAGCAAGTTGTAATAATAAATAATCTTGAATATTATACAATATGTTAAAAGTATCGGGTAAAAATAGGTCGAATTTTGAGATATTAAAGCGTGATTTTGATTTTTTAAGAAAGATATTGCATGTGTAGTAATGCAATTATATATTAATAATTTATATTATTTTTAATTAGAATATTGATATTCAAGAAATTTAGAATAGGATATAATAAACGTAAATACGTTTGTTAAACTAAAAATCTTTACTGATAAAAACATAATGTTTTTATTTATTTGTATTACTTTAATTTCTAACATTATTAATTTAGAAAATTTTCAAATTTTATATATGCATAACATTTTGAAAAATGCATAGAGACGATTTGAGATTCTGTTAAATGCTGCTCATTATATTTTGAATTAAGAATTGTTTAAATTGATTTTGTAATTAATCAAAGAATTCATATAAAGTAGAGAAACATTTTTAATTCATAAAACATTTTTGTACTCTCTATATGTATTTAATAATTAAAATTTTACAACATACTGAGAATAAAATGATAAATCGATGTGTTAATATTAAGAAACCTTAGCTGGACAAAGCGATGACTAAGAGAGCGACCAGCGGGCAAATTGATATTTGCGGTCGTTAAGCATTTATAAGGCACTTGCGGATTCGTTCTATTTCAAATTACAGTCTAGAATAAACCGTCGATAGTTTCTTTCCAGTGACAATTTGCAGCATTTAAAAGATCTATTAGCGTATGAAAAAAAATGACAAACGATCATAAGAAAGATCATGCAATGACAACGATTAAATGTTTGCAGTTTATATGGTGATTTTATGAGGTCATCGAATCGTAATTCAAATCGTCTGCTTTCTTCACGATGCCATTCTCGCAGATATTAAATCCGGTACTCAATATTATGCTTTTCGATAAAATAAAAAAAATCTATATAAAACGGCAATAAAAAGCTACCCGCGCATTGTAATTTGCTACAAAATAATATGATCTGCAGTGGGCGTTGTTACTGATAAGCGCGGACAAGTCTCTCATTATGAATTTTAATGCTAGGCTTATTGTTGAGATTGAATTCCCGCGATATCGTAAATATCCTGTCCGTCATCCGGTACTTTCATTTCTATGACGCGTTTTCCCAACTTTCTATCGATAAATAAGCATCACCGGTAATTACGTGAAGTAATTCCCGCCGACGAGATAAATTTGCGATCGCGTTGCTCGGTGCAGAAGCGAGTGCAAATGCAAAACAAACTGAGCATGAAGCCTGACGTTGCCCATCTATTCATGAAATGTGATCAATCTGATGTAAATGAATAAATAACTTATTTTTATATGCAAAATCTACTTGAAAAGCACATTAATATAAATAATGTTAAAGTAACATCTCTCTCTCTTTCTTGCTTTTTCCTTTTTGATTTTGAAACTCGTATTTTGTTTAAAAAAATATCTAGAACAATAGAGTGACACATAGCTCTTTGACAGATTATTGCTAAATTACTAGATTACTTGATCAAGCTACTTAATGCCGAACTAGTTATTCGCATTTTGCGGTCGCGATAAATCTCGATGCGACCCATTCTCGAAGAAATCGATGCTTCAACGAGCATTCGATCTGAAATTATGATTGTGGATGATGAATCGCCTGGGGCTAACCGGTGATGCTTTCGATGATTAGAGTAAATCGCTCGAGAGTCTTGTCCACGGATGACGGAGCCGCGGAAAAAGCACGTTTCACAAGCGAGCCGTAAAATCCCACCGTAAAATTTGCACTTCCTTCCCTTTTCTCCAGCCCGATCGAAGGCCCTGCTTGCATGCGAGATCGTTTAGAAACTTCCACGATGAAAGTGAGAGTCTTTCCACTTTCAATTGTTAGAAAACCATCGCGATACGTTTTTTGCGGTATACCGCATACATTTTTCAACAGCGTTTTATTAAGAAACGCATACTCTATCATTAATCAACTGAAAATTATCGCGAACATTCAACTCCAGAACTAATCACTTTGATAACTTCCTCCTTTTAAATCTTAAATATAGATTCAAGTAACATTAGTTGATATGTTATGCATGCAATAGTGTATACGCAAAAAGGTGTAATATTTCTACGTAATTAAATATTTAATTATCAATATGCAGAAAGAGAAAATTTTGGATCGCATGATAAAATTTCTAATTCTACATTTGCGTTTCTTTATTAATTAACCTCTGCGTAACATTTAAAAACTCGTATTGTTGTTTCAAAAATTTATTTGCTTCATTCTCGTAATACCGTTCAGTCGAACGAGGAGAAACTTTCACCGTTAAATGACTGATAATAACAATATGCATTGTTAGCGAAAGAAGACCGGGCTTAAAAACGTTTCGTTGCATTTCCTGGAAAAACGTTCCTCTCGACCGTTCCTTTCGGTAAAAACATTTCCATCCTTTGGCGAGTTTCTCATCCGGCGGATTAACGAGATCGGGCCTAATTATATATCTGAATGCGATAAAAATAATTTTGAATAATCATTACACGAGCGAGGTGAACGGCTAATTTCGTATTAATCTCAAGAGTTGTGCGCTCTTGCGATGTAATCGTAGTAGATTGTTAACGACTTCCGCGCCGCTCGCGCAAATTCCGCCGGATAATCTGCATAATCTGTCGGGGAAATGAATTATTCAGGTGCGATAATTTTGACGATTGGCCTTTGTGTGCTCGCGAATAGATACGCGCGAGATGGATAGGAACAATAGCTGGTATAATGTGGCCCATCTCAAGCAGCTGTTTAGTTACGGCTCAGCACCGACGTGATACCTGACGATTCTTTGTGTCGATTCTTCAGCTGGCCGCTTATAATTAAACAGACGACGCATTACAATTGATACTTCGGTCTTTCTGTACGAAAGAGCAACTTTCACGTTACGCTTCAGCGGTGAAAAAGAATCACATCGTTCAATTTCAATAATAAATTTCTACACTATTGATGTTCACGTACGTTTTAAGAAATTAAACGAAATAAAAAGTGCTTGTTGTAGACGTATCTGATATGACACTTTAAAAATTTCAGCATATTAATATTTTTTTGAGCAATTTTTAGAAACACAAAAGATTTCGCTGAATTTTTAAAAGCTTACAAATAAAAAACAAAACTATGCACTTGAGCGGAAAATAATTTCTCAATCACTATATTCTATTAAATTTTAGTAAAAAAAAATTAAACTGAGTTTATTTCTGTAACATGAAATGCTAAAGGATCGACATATGTAATCAAATAATTAATAGCGTGATTAGCAATCAATACATGTGATTAATGATAATTCGTGTCTAGACACACACAGTCTCCCTCGCTTTCTTGCGTGCGCGTGACACTTAGCGAAAAACACGTTAGTCTCTTAATTTTTTCCCGATGTTAGAATTTCTCTTTTATCTTACATTACTCCTCGCTCATGCGCTACATGTTCACGCACTCATTAAAGGCGAGAATAGCGGCTCGCACGTGCAATAAGAAAGTCGGTACGTATATGTACGTGCTGCGTGTACGTATCTTTCAAATGCGAGTTTTACTGAACGAGAAACTGTCGCGCTAGTTCAAATCTGATAATGATTGCAAGAACAAAAATGAAAAGCATATAATTGCGAGATTTACAACTACAAAACGGACAGCGGTTTGCCCATAACCAGTCATAGTTGGGATATTTTCGGGGTCACAAAATGTAGTGCTCGCACGCCGCATTGCTCGAGATGATTTTATCTGTCCAAATACTGATGTGCTTGTAATTAACTCCACCGCACACGACATTCTATCCTTTAAATTAAATTATAAATAATAATCTCTACGAATCAATCTAACGATTCTCGATTTACATTAATTCGAGTAAATATAGTGCAATTAAAATCTATTACCTATATTTAAACGGCATTATATTACATATATATTTGTTCATCTAAATTTGATTTGAGTAAGAGCTATATTTTAATCATTATTATATAGCTATAGTTTAATGATTATTGTAGAGCTATATTTTAATCATTATTATCATATAATTTAATCATTATATATTAACCATTATTATTATTATATTATCATTATATTTTTTATATCTTAAACGTTTACCATTAATCTGGACACAAATAGTCTAGAAACTTATTGTAATTATATCATTATATCATTTAATCTATAATTTTCTTAATTCTTTTCTAAAGAGACGTACATTCTATATTAACTTACGTATATTTTAATTTATAAAATAATCCAAATTAGTATTTTACTATATGCTATATAAAATATATAAATAATTTTGCGACGATATTTTTTATATTTAAAATGTTTGAAATAAAAACATTTTAGCAATGAATCTTAACAAGTAAATCATTGAATCAATTTATAGGTGACGATGTTCCCGGTACTATCATCGTTCGAGTCGGTAATAATCGTCCAGATTTAGGAACAAATCCTATTTGCAATCGATTCACCGGAACTTTAGAGGAAGGACAGCCTCTTTTCTTACCTTGCAACCCGCCGATGCCTGGTGCCTTTGTCTCGGTGCATCTGGAAACTGCATCTGGCGATATTCCCGTGCAGTTATCTTTATGCGAGGCATTCGTTTACACTGATCAGGTATATATTCAGCAGTTGTATAATAATATAATAAAAATTATAGTTCTAAATATTTTTAAAAAATCCTCCAATCTCTTTTTTCTTTGTTATATAATTATTTATTTCATGAAAAATGAATGCAGGCTTTGCCGATTGAAAGATGTCCTCAATTCCGGGACCAGCCACCAGGATCAACAGCAACTTACAATGGCAAGTGTTACATATTTTACAACCGTCACCCACTGATATTCAGAGAAGCTTTGGCTTTCTGCCGTGCACGAGGTGGTACTCTCGTGGATGAGAGCAATCCTGCTCTACAAGGATTCATTTCGTGGGAACTATGGAGACGGCATAGGTAATACGATGTAGAAGAATTAATTAATTTAAAAAATACGGTTTAAATAATTTTTTCAAAAAATCTAAGATATGTTCAGTAGCATTAATACAACTAGCTGATATAAAAAAAATTTCATTATTACCTTGTTCTATTTTATTACTCTTATAATAATGATTAAAATATAGCTCTTACTTGCTTATCAAATTTAAATTTCTTTTTGAAACTTTCGGAATATAAAGCCATTTAAAATTATATAATTTAAATGTTTGTTTAATTGATGTCATTATCAAGAGGGAGAGCAAATTTAAAAATATACTTTTATCATATCTATATATTTTTACAAGAATTTCTAGTAGACTGTGAGAGAGCATAAGTTCTAATTCAAATACGTACATTTATGAAGCATTAATTATTTAACTAATAAAAATACTAAGGTATGACAAATTCAACAATTTATTATCTGAACAATTTAAAAAATTATCGTAATATGCGCGCATAAATCAAAGCTAAAAAAATTCTTGCACATTAATATGTTAGAGAATGTAATATTTCTCAGAAGATAATAGATTAAATAAAATAATTAAATTAATTAATTAAAATTAGATATTAGAGAGAGAGAGAAAATAATAAGAAATTTTATTTGTTGTCAATGAAGGAGCGACACATCCAGTCAATATTGGATGGGCGCAGTTAGAGATCAGAAAGATCGGACATTATGGAGATGGACCGGAAGTGGCGAGGAAGTGTCCGTCTCGTTTTGGAGTTTACCACAAGGTTCGGAAGAGGATTGCGCTCGATATGACGGAAGCAGAGGCTGGCTTTGGTCTGATACACCTTGCACAGCGCGACTCAATTTTATCTGTCAGCATCGTATGTATCGTTTTTCTTACAATACTTCTGTAGTTTTATCTCTTTTTTTAACAACGCTTCATGAAAGATATTTGAATCTTATATCTATATTTAATAAAATTATAAAATTATACAACGATAAAAATTTTCTTTGCAACATGTGATTTCAAAATAATATATGATGTGAAAATCTAAGATTATAGATTTCGTATATTGAGAAATAGAAAGTTCTAGTGAAAAAAATTACTGTAATTCATCTATTACGATATAAATGTTTGCATTTAAATTCTTTAAATCCATTGCTACGTTAAATGTTGTTAAGCTTTCTTTTAACAATATGCATTTAATATTCTTTATCCAATCCATTGCTACGTTAAATGTTGATTAAGCTTGTACTACCTTAAATAATATTATATATATATATATAATATATATATATATATATAAATATATTAATGATAAAAATAATAATTATATATTGTTTTGCTCTTTTTAGAACCACAAGCTTGCGGCAGACCTGAGCAGCCGCCAAATTCAACGATGGCAGTAACCACCACGTCAACCAGGACTCCTGGCAGCGTATACGAAGTCGGTGCGTCAGTGGAGTACAGTTGTAATGTGGGTAGCCTTCTAATTGGACCGGCGACCCGTACTTGCCTCGACACCGGTTTTTACAACGAGTTTCCGCCAGTGTGCAAAAGTAAGAAATATACGACTGTTGTGCAACTGTACTCAAACGAAATCATTGAACGTAACTCACGTAAATCGCGCCCTGATCGTTTTAGATATCGAATGCGGTTATCCCGCAAGCATAAAACATGGTGGTTACACGCTCATCAATAACACCGTCAATTATCTCAGCCAAGTGCTTTATTCTTGCGAGGAAGGATACGAAATGACCGGTAAGCATCATCGAATTGATCGCAAGTCGATACTTTCAATTACGCACAGTGTGTTAAAAAGAGACAAACATTTATATATATAGATAAAAAATATTTATAAAGCTAATCTGCAATTGCAGGACGCGCCCGATTGACTTGTGATATCGACGAGCGTTGGAATGGACCGCCGCCGCGATGCGAGCCGATTCTTTGCGATCCACCGGCCATAGTTGCGCATAGTTATGTGCAAATAGACGAAATCGATGAAAGCGAAAGTGTCTCGTTGAAAAACAATCTCAATAGAAGTCTGCTAGTTGGTAGCATCGTCACCTATACGTGCGAGAAGGGTTATCGACTCGTTGGTTTCCGGCAAATACTCTGCTTAGCTACCGGATTATATGATCACGTCGCACCCACTTGCATAGGTATTTAATAATTTAAATGTAATTAAAATGTTATTAAAGTAAACTCTACTTGAAATTAATTGGAGACTGATTTTGTTAATATTTTATTTCCACAAGGTTTAGTTTGCGAAAAATCCTTTTTTTTTTTCAATCGCTTATAAAATCGAAAATTATTGAATGCCTCAATATTTTTACTGTGTGACACCTTATGTCAGACCCTGTAATATATAGGAATTCTCTTTCTTAGCAGAGGAAGCGCGGACAACCGTGAGTATTCCTACTCGAGGAACGATACGACCGTCGACGCCGAAAGTTCGGCCATATCTCACCCCTAGAATTCGAACTACGACGAGCGCGGCAACGATTACCACTAGTACAACTTCTTTGCCAGCTAGAAAGGTACCTAACGCCGCGGAACTTCCAGCTACAGTGCGGGAGACGATCTCGAAAAGGCCGAGTATCGGGTTGAATAAACCCGGGTTACCATCATCGGTACTCAATGACGCCGGTAGCGATCATCCGCAAGACAACGAGATATCCGGAAGCGGGGTGGATCACGCTCAAGCGGGGATCGGGGCGGCTATTCCGGAACCTTCCGGCCCCTTCCGGGTAGACGATCAACCTAGTGGTGCGCATCAGGCCAAGTTGAACCTAGGTGCCGTGATCGCCTTAGGAGTGTTCGGCGGCTTTGTGTTCCTCGCCGCGGTGATCACGACGGTGGTTATACTCATACGCAGGTAAAAAAAATAACGTTTTATCAAACCACTTTGAGCGATGATCCAACTTCGAGGATCATTGCCCGCGCCTCCGCGAATCTTTACTATCTTTCTGATGATATAACGCACTCTGATATACATAGACGATGTTCGACCGGATTGTACATTGTAATGCTTACTTTGTATTTGTTTGATCTACTTTCTATTTTCTGTTCATGTATCACTCTATCTTCTTCCTAACTTGTAATACGAACATATATGCTGTACTGTATTTCTCCTCTCATAGAGGATAATTTCGCTTGTATGATGAAGTCGCGTGTACATGTCTCTTGGATAACGAGTTTTCTAACATCCCGCAGTATACCATCGCGGATAAAACCGTGCAGAGATAACAGTACTATTTCGTCCCTTCATTCATTGATCATAAGCTTCCTGTAATTTAGCCTGTAATTTAACTCGAACTTACTTTAACATATAGATTACGCTTTGCAAAGGAGACGTATTTTTTCCCTGATCGATCCGTAATGATTTCATTTAAATTATTAATTTATCGTTAATTAAGCCTATGATTCTCAACATAAATCGCGGCCACTCAAAGATTTTGTCTTGTACATACAAATATCAAAGTAAATTTTTTAACGCGAAATAGCCAAAATTTCCTTTTAATTGACAATGATTACAAGCGTAAATGATTAGCGTAGCCGCAAATACGAATGAAAATAACTCGAAAAGTGGTCATGACTGGAGAAAAAGTTGAGAAACACTGGTGTAAACCCCTTGCGAGACCTAACATGTAACGTAAGAGAGAGATGCGCGCGAATCTCGTAGATTGTCTAGTCCGCCACGACGACGATTAACACTGAGTCAATTTATGGGTTGCGATAATTAGTGGCAACGGCAGCGTCAGAGGAAGGCGCCGCAGGGGGCTCGGTGGGGTTGGTGCGCTGAGGGGTGGCGGTAGTGGTGGCCTTGGGAGGGGTGACACCGGAATGCCCTCGCGTTGGTATACGCTACTCGCGCTGCCCTTCCCCGACCAGCACCTGGGGCGCCGCGACCTCACGGCTCGCCGCGGTAGCGATCATCCCTATTCCTTCAGCCTGTCGGCGGCTCATCGTGCCGGCTACTTCTCAAACCCTTCTCTGTAGATTGCCATCGTCGCCCCTCCCTCTCGCCGCGGAAAAAGAAAGAGAGAGAGAAAGAACCGCTCCCTTAACAAAGCCCGCAACCACTACTACCACCCCAACCCTCCACGCAACCACCGCCCACCAACACATCAACTATCATCACGTACCACCACCAACTACCACGCGCCACCCTTCGCGAGTGATACTAGTCAAGGTAAACGAGAGCAAGGTTTTCTACTGTGTGCACTTTCTTTTAGAGATAGTTGGTTTTGCCATCACGTCGCATCACGTCACATATCACGCCTACGAAATAGAAGATGCCTTGGTAGTGCGTTGCACGCACGCAGACGCACCTAAACTATACCCCATTCCAATAGAAAAATAAAATCTCATCGCGTATTCAATAATTCTAGAAAGCAGTCATATGTTCTGAATAGCTTCTCAAATATGATTTCAAATAATCTTGTAAATCTTTGATAAGTTAAAGTAATTCAAACATTTATTTTAAATTAAGTAAAATATGTAAATGCTCTCGTAAGTCAAAATAAATATAGGGAATCAAATGGCAATTCGAACCAAGCGCGGTAATTAAAGTTTATATGTGTGATTGAATAACAAATAAATGTGCTTCAATTACCGCTATGCTTTCATTGCCATTTTGACTCCTTATATCTATTTAAAATATATATGTATATTAAAGAAAAATTATTTAAAATTAAAAAATTAAATTGGAAACATTTTTACAAAACCTTATAGCTAATTGTATTCTTTGAAAAATCATTTTATTTTTTTTTTCTCATTTTAATAATATAAAATGAGACAAAATCGACTGCGATTCTAGAAATCCTGAATATCGTGCTGCACAGAGAAATCGCGACAGAATATAATTATGTACATGTATCGTGCTCTTTTTCTCGCTTGAACACTTTACATTAACTGCATTATTGTCTCCAAGATTGCACTGATGTATTAATTATTGGATATCTGTGTTATATATTATCTCTTGATAATATATAATGAGTTTTTCACGAGTTTTTCAATATATCTTTTAGAACTGCTATGTTAGTATATATAGTACTCATTCTCTTTTCTGTCTATTTATCTTCAACTTTTTTGTTAGAAAATTGCTTCAGGCTATGTAGTAAGAGATATATATTTAAAATTTTTACTTATATTTAATATACAATATAAAAGTGCACTCGCAGGCGGATCAGCATTTACATTTTATTCACTCTAATAGAACGTATAAATTTTATTCCTACAAAATGCATGTCACTGTGAACTGTATATGTGAATGGATAATAATTCACGAAAAATCGGAACGATTATTTTTCTATTACACATAACACGCTTTGCCTATATCTTTTTCATCATACGCAAATATGTGTTTAGTGCTATATAATAGAAATTACATGTAATTAAAATGTGACAATCTGAAATTGAGCAAAAAATAACTTTATAATATAACGTTTAATCTTTATTTAGAAACCGCGGAAGAAGCAGTAAACATTATCGTCATCGTGCATCGCCCGATTGTAACACCGTTGCCAGTTTCGATAGCAGTTCGTCGGAAAGTCGAGGAGGTCTGAATCGTTATTATCGTCAAGCCTGGGAAAATCTACACGAGACCGCCGGTCATAAGACCAGCCATCCGCCGCTTCGTCGTAAGGAGACCCTGGATGAACCAGGGTACCGAGAGAACTTTCGCGGTAACAACAACACTGAGCGCGATGGCTCGGAATTAGTCGTCAGTGATGTCGCCGCTTATCCATCAAGTAAGCACGCAAGCATCTCCGATAAGAAGCGTCATCATCACCATCATCATCATCATCATGGCAACGCGACACCTGATTGGAGACAATCACAGTCTCACCACCGATACTAAATGGAAGATAAAATTATGAAACATAAAAAATTTTATCATTAAAGCGCTACATTATTCGCTACATCGTCATCTACAATTATGTGAATAATGATTTCTAGAAAATGTAGAGAGAGAGAAAGAAAGAGAGAGAGAGAGACTATATAGTGAATGGTTTCACAATGTTTCTTACGCGGGTCAACAAATCTTCCTTAAATGAGGGAGCACAGCGAATCTTCTACTAATAAGTAGTGTCTAGATAACAAAATTGAAAAATAGATCCTACGTATATTATTCTATTATGTTATTTATCATAATTTTATTTTATATATACGCGAAATGTGTACATATTATATACATTGTAACACTTAAGAAAAAAAACGATGGATTATTACTCATCGTAAGGAGGGTAGTATAAGCTGGTCAGAAGATATGCCAAAAAGCACAAAAGTAATATAAAATAACGCGATCAAACGAACATATAGTAATTTAACGCTTAAAGGTAAGTTATTGTAAGATTGAAGATTTATATGTAGTTTCTTACACGTTTGAAAAGCTTTATCTAACGAGAAAAATCGGATTGGCAAAATTTATATATGTGTTATGGGTACCTTGGCCTCACTTTAAACTGGATTACTGTTTCCAGAAAAACGGAATACTGTATGTAAGTATCATTAAGGAAAGGCCGATGTTATCCATTTAAGAGTAAAACCAATATTATAATCACTGTTGTGCGTGTCTATGCAAATAAACGCGAAAACACGAAGACACATCACAACTATGTATTTGAATGCCTGTCGTGGATCGCTGTTATACCTCCAATACATGCTACTTTCTCGATCGAGAGTTTGTATTATATAAATACATTCGTATGATAACATTTAATTATAGTTACTATATATGGAGCATATCTATTAAGTTCATTGAATTAATATACATATAATGCAATTTTTGCATATCTTTTTATTTATTGACTGAGATAATCACATGCGTGAAATTTGTTGTATATGTATTTCCATGATTTTATTTATCGCAATAAAATATATAGTGCCATTTGAGGCAAACTTGTTTAATCTATTGTAAATCTATTGTAAAAGCATTTTTGTCACTCAAACATGATACATAATAAATAATCTTAGCGCGTATTCATTTCGTCAATAGATTTAATATCATATTGTATAAAAATTTAGATTAAAGATATTTATATAAATATATGCAATTAATTTCAAAAAATTATTAAAAAATTAAAATTTAACATTAAAGCAATTAATTGAAATTATAATTAATTAAATTGTAAATAAAAATTGTCAAATTATTAAAATTCACAGAGTGAGAAAAGGGTTACTTAAGAAAAATACTTTTCAAATTTTAACTTTAAAGACAAATATCTCGATAAAATGCGTTATAGCTCACTTTTACCGAAACACCCTGCATAAAAAGTAAAAGTCAAAGTAAAAATGAGCAATCTCTTGTGGCTATGTGAAACAGGTAAAAATTTAATTCCATAAGTTCTTATAAAACTTTTATCTGTAATGCACCTTTATCAAGTCTTACTTGTTTTTAAAATTAAAATTTGAAAAATATTTGTCTTAAATAACTCTTATGTCACTGTAAATTTTAATAATTTAACCATTTTCACAATTTAATTAATTATAATTTCAATTTCTTTTATGTGAAATTTCAATAATATTTTGAAATTAATTGGAATATTTTATTTTTTCTAAAAATAAATTTTATTATATTTACTCTAAAAATAAGTTAAAATTTTTTTATTTGCCTGTAGATAAATTCAACGTTTATTATTATTTATATTTTATTTTTATATTTACTTCTGTAATATTATAATCGTCTTAATATTCTCAAACATTTAATTTTTCAAAACGACCTGATAATCCTAACAATCCTACGCTATTTGCTGGAAACCAGTGGGAAACTGCAATCGCCGAGATTTGGAGAAACGTGTCTTAATCGCATGCCCTAATCACTTGTCCTAATCGTGTGCCTAATCGAATGCATTGATTAGGTTCTATTACTTATTGTTAGATAAAATATAAAATATGTAGAACGTTATCTCTTGTATACTGTTAAAAGTTTCAAATGTAGATCTCGCTAAGAATTTTGGACAGTACAGTTCTTTTCTTTCTTTCTCGTTTAAGAAAGAAAAATGTATTTCCAGAATCAATCACTGGGCGATACGGGACTTGCACACACTAAACAACCTTCAATTTGCGCAATTATGATGTTAAGGATATATGCATGCCAAGGATCTCGACAACCCACGTGTTTCAAGCTATTACATAAAAATTGTGACAACACGAATGCCAATCTACGAAAATATGTTAATTAATATGCCCAATACTTTTAACAACGTTTCCTAATTTTACGATTGAAGCCCGTTTTACGCAAGAATCACACTTGATTCTCATTTAACAAATCGGGATAACATACGAGTGTAATGTCATTAATTCCTGATAAAAAGTTTTTCATATATAATTATATATAACAATATAAAATTATATAGAAATATATAAAATTCTACATAAGTTTAATAACCCTAACAGCACACATATCTCGAAGACGTTCGGAGAATATCCCGAGTATGTTCGAATGTTCTCTGGATATCTTGGATATTCTCAGAATGTTTTTCGGATATGGTGTGTTATTAGGGAAGTTATATGTAAGTATATATAATTTTATGGATTTATTATATAATTATATAATAAGAGCCATGGAAATAAAATTATATAACTATAATATATAACTTAATATAGAATTTTATATATTTCTATATAATTTTATATTGTTATATATGATATTATATATAAAACATTTTTCATCGGGTTAATATTATTGTACAATATTATTATATAATAATATTGTGTGATCAACGTTATTATATAATAATATTGACCGTCTAGGGTCTGCTTTATAATTTCAATTAATTTATTTCAATTAATTTAAGATGACATTAATGCATGTTTTTTAATGCAATATGCAATAATGCTATATTGGGTAATACTAAATTATGTGAAATATCGCATTTCTTGCAATTGTCACCCTCCCGAAATTGTAATACAAATTTTAATCAGGTTGAATTTAAGATGACATTAATGCATGCTTTTTAATGCAATATGCTATGTTGAGTAATACTAAATTATGTCAAATATAACAATCTATGATCTAGATCTATATTTACCATCTACATTTACACACAATCTACTCTCTACCGTTATTTCCTAATAAAATAATAATTAATCACTCACCAACTGATGAGCAACAGCGGAGTTAGCACTGCATCGTTGACCTATAACATACAAATAAATCGAAATTATAGCAACAAATAAAATCGAAATTATAGCAGCGCTTTGCATAATTAATATTTTAAAAAATAGTGTGTCCATTAAATTTTATATTAAATGTGTACAATTATCAGTAGATTGTAATTGAGTAACTTTATAAGTTTTAATTTATTAATTAATTTATTTTGTTTTATAAATTTTATAAAGATTATATATAATAAACTTTTATTCTTATCAAAAATATTTCTCTCTAATTCTCTTTTGTTTAAATTATTCTAATATAGAAATAGAATACTGTAACACATATCCAATTTATAACAAGTATTATGCAATATTACAAATTACAATACTCACCCCAGAGTTGCTCCGCTGACGCCTGATACCTCCTATAGGCCTGCTCCTCCTCTCAGGTCGAGTTGATCAGAATTGTTCGTTCATTGTTTACAGTCAATTTCCGAAACACGCGTGAAATACTTTGAAAGGCACTCCCGCACTAAACGCGCGACACTTCAAACGAAACTCCCGCACTTTCGGCAAAAATTCCGCACTAAACGCGCGATTCTTTCAACGGCATTTCCGCACTAACAATAAAACAAGCAATATTTTTTTATACCTATTTCTAAATAGCATTATTATTTTCTCGCATTAAAATTATTTTATTATTTTAATATTTTTATACGCGTTAATTATTACGAGAATTTAATAATAAATCAGTGTAACCGACCAATTTCAAAGTAAGGAAAAATTAAATAACATATAATGCGTACTAGAATTTGTATTAAAAGTTGTAAAATATTGTCGTAAATTATTATCGTAAATTATTATTGTCGCAAAACTTTAATTACTGTTCTTTTAATTTATTTCCTATAATCGCGATAAGATACTCGCAAAATATCTTTTAGATCTCACATTATTTTACACAATTTTGTTTTAACTACGTAATCAACATATACTATGTATCATAACATAAATAAATAGATTACAAAACAGTAATATAATATCAATATATTATAACAATAAGTAATTATGTAAATTATAATTATATAATCAATTATATAAAAATTTATAATCACACACAATTATCATAATTATTAGATTAAATATACTACGTATATGTATAATAAAATGTTTTTCGTATTTCTTTTAAACAGAAATATTCTTAATCTATCTATTTATTTGTAATCCATTCATTTTGAGGTAACGGAAACTATCTACCAATCTACAATCTACAATCTAGCTACCATCTACAATCTAATCTCTACACCGTTACCTCGTAATAAAATAATTTATTACTCATCGGTCGATGCGCAACAGTGGAGTTACGAAACCACGCTGATCTGGAAAATGAAAATAAAATCCAAATTATAGCAACACCATCAGTAATTAATATTTCAGTAAATTATTATTGTGTGTATGTGCATTGAATATTATATTTTTTACGCGCGTACAATATTCAGCAGAAGTATGATTAAAGCATTTTATGAATTTTAATTTAATACAATTAATAGATAAATAATAAATTCTCACCTCAAGGTTGCTCCATCAATGCCCGATGCCTCTCCCAGGCCTCCTCCTCCTCTCAGGTTGTCAATTGTATTCAAATTATCTGTAAAATAAAAATTAAATGTCTCAAATTATAGCAGCGTCTCAAATAATAAACAAATAAAAAAAATTATTCATTAAATTCAATGTATAATTATTATATGCATTAAATTTTATATTTATATGTACAATAAAAATACTAATAATAATTTATTTATTTTATAATTTTTTAATTTAATAATAGAAAAATAAATACCTCAAAACAGCTTCATCTATGTTTCATGCCTCTCCCAAGACTTTCTCCTCCTCTATAAGATTATCAATATCTTCAACAAAGATCTGTAAGATAGAAATTAAATTCACATTGTGTGTGTGTGTGTAAGATTGCCTAAAATAGTTAATAAATAAAAAAATTATTATTTATTGAAATCAAAATTGTAATAATTCTATATTTACAATTTTATATTCAGCATACAATTATAATAATTAAATAAAAAAATTCTAACAATTAAATTTTATACATTTTGATTTAATTTAAATAATAAACAAATAATAAATACCCAAAAATTATTCCATCTGCGCTTTATATGTCTCTTTTAGATCTCATCCTTATACAGAATTGTTAATATTTTCAGCAAAATTGATCTGTAAAATAAAAATTAAATCAATATTGTAAGAGTGTCTAAAATAATTAACATGTAAAAAAAATAATAATTATATATATATGCATTCTTTTTACTTGATGCGTACGCAATAATAAACACAAACAAATATATATTTAATTTTATTATACAATATATATTTAATATATACACGTTTATTAATAAATTATTTAATATAATTAATAATAATAAATACCTAGAAATTTCTCCTCCGACATTCGGACCATTTCTTTTGCGGCTTTCAAACTTTTGAGTCCTTTTATTGCTACATTGTTACGTTTTTGATCTATAACATAGAAAAATTAATTATTCTAAAACTTTAACGCACTTAATTACGTTACTTTTTTTGTTCGCAATGCGCGGCGACACGACGTCCGGATTATAACTAAAGATGAGTAATGTGTACGATAATATTGCAATACCATTGGCAATATGAGAACCGCTGTCATAATCAACCTACGATTTTTACAAAAATTACGAACCTATAATTCGTTGCGTAATGATACTTTGACACGATGATGAGAATTAAAGTACGATCGGAAACATATTAGAATACGATCGAGAATGTCGAAAAACTCCGAAAATTTTCGCGCCGAAAGCACCCGGTAATTCTCCCGATCCGTCCTTGTAAACTTATAAACAAATAAACTTTCAGCGGCTCGAATTGGAGCTAATATCGCGCGGTTTGGAAGGACGAATATTGAGCGAGATTTACGACCGACGAGATCAATCTGGCGCGTACTATCGCGATCACGATATCGATACATGCAACGTGATCGGATTTACATGATAATTAAAGACGTAAAGACATTAATTAATACTCACGCTTGTATTTTTGGCGGACCGGCGACGAAGAGCGCGCGAACGTTGGTCGTGAACGATGAGAAATGAAAAAGTACACCAGAGGGCAGCAACATTCAAGATTGTGTTCGGAAGATGGTAGGTGACCAGCACTGGATTACGGCGGGAAAATAATGTGGGTAAAGCGCGCGAAGTTAGGTACGGTCTCTTACAATATCTAGATAGTTAATTCGCACATATGGCCAATTTTCAACAAATCCGGTTCGATGAACTATCGGTTAAAATAAACAGACTGGTCGAAACAAGCAGTCATGTCTATGAATATCATGAATACTTTCATGTTTGTTAGCCATTCCGCTATTTTTAATTATCGATATTGATAAAATTGATCATTATATATAACCTACGCGGTCGACAATATATGTATATACATTGTCGACCGAATGGTTTTAAAAGATGATTATTTAATGTAAAACAAGTATCATACATATAGATATCATGAGAAATATACACTTGTAATTATTTAAATTAATTCGTATCGCAATCAGTACTTACTTTACGAATAATTAGTCCTGAATTCTTGTCCACTAATTACTGACCACACTATTCTGCTATGCGTCTCGAAAGTGCCATTAATCTTGCTCGACTCTCGACCTCGACGCACGAGAATCGATACTAGCAATCGATATTGCTCTTACGAGATATTCGTAGATACCAACCAACTTTGCAAGCGTGCGAACAGCAGAAATTTCAAATTATGAATGATAATATAAACATTATATTTATATATTATGCGGTCAAAAATTATAAAAATATGATTTTAATACATCACAATTGATTATTGTAAATATGTATATATTCTAAAATAATGATTCTTATATATAAATAGTAATAGATAAATGTTCTAACATCTAAAATTAATATTTTTTGACAGAAATTAGCTAATTAAAGAATAAATTTGTTAATTAATTTAAAAATAATAATATATTATAAAAATTAAAATAATATGATATAATGATATAATATGATATAAATAATATAATACTTTAAACTCCATTAATATTTTTTGACATATATCAGCTGATTTGTGTAAAAAAAATATGAATCGAAGCTAAAGTATTACATTACGTTATTTATAACATATTATTATTAAAAATATTTTGACGTCAATATAATTTTTTATTAATTTTATAATTCTTAATTTTTAAATCTTCCCGCTCATTATTCTGCCGCTCGTGATTGGTTCCGCCGCGTCGTTGCGCGACCAATGAAAAGCAGAGCGAGTCTGTCCAGACTAGTGGATGCGCATGCGCGACACGAGACACGAGACTACGGCGCCATCGTCTTATTCTCGTGCACTTCGTGACTTTAGTCTGTAGCGGTGCTTCGGTTTGTATGGTAGGTGTTTTTCTTGCGTAATCCGTACACGATATACCGCGTAACAGGAAGTGCGTTTGTTGATTCGATCCGACGTGACGGTGCTACGTCGTCGAAGCATACGCCGTGTTGTACTGCCGCAGCGAGGACGTTTCATATTTCATCTGGAACGACGACTCGTCCTACATTAATATCGTCCACTTTGCATACGTATACATCGCCGGTAAGTAACAGCCAGCTCTATTGTCAACGGCCGCGTAATAAGATCGCATTCTATTATTAGAGACTAGAGAGAAAGCGTGGTTTACTTTTTGGCCCGGAGGCGCGGTCGCACACCTTCACGTCCCGACCAATCGCTCACGAGCTTTAGCCTCTCCTCCTACAGATGTTTGTCCTTTGGAGGACACAATAGCTCTCTTTCTCTCTCTCACACACACTTTTCTCTCTCTCTCTCTCATTTCTTTAGTTTTCCATTTAAGACAAATTGAATATTTGCGAGGGGAATCGATCTTGCGAATGTTAATAATCCATCTCTATTGGAAGAAAAGAGAGTCAAGGAGAAGTATGCGCTTTCTCATTTGATACTGACAATTAGATACCTATGCATCTATATTTTTTCGTGATTTGAATTGCGTCGTAGTTTACATTATTCATGATAATTAATATAACCAACATTCGCGTGTTATTAATTACGCACATTACATCAACAAAATTATCAGAGTCATCGCAAAAAAATAATCACTTGCAAAAACTTTAGAGCTCGGAGATGAAATCTGCAGGTACATTATATCAATCATATATTAATGGCTCATGGCTTATAACTATGATTTACATATATATATATATATATGATATACCATATTGACGAATATATTTACATACGTATATTTTTTTATACAGTATATATTTTGGTGTATATTATTATACTTTATATATTTTTTAAATCTAAATCTTATCATATCTTTTTTATATTATATTATTTTGTTTTAACATTTGTTTTGTTTTAATATTTTATTTTTTTCTAATTTTTCTATATTTATAAATCTATTTATCTTAGTATTATAAAAAAGTAATATAAAATTAGTACTAGTAATATAAAATTTATATTAGTATTATTATTCTTATATGACTAATCAGTATTTGTTGAAGTTAAAGATTGTATTTATTATATTCTAATATACCACTTTATTCATGCATTAAAATGAATATGAATTAGTGATGACAATCACAAGCTGATCGAAATTATGAATTCAAAATATAAAATAAGATAAGAAATATAAAATAGCAGACAAATTTGACTTTTATTTATGAATACTCAGTTCACGAGTTTATAAAAATTCATTAACTAGATTGGTATAACGAAACGGGAAAAATTGTCTAATTTATATAAACATTCTTATAAATTACCTAAAATAAAATATAAAATTTATATAAACAATTTTAATCTGTTTACGCCATGTGAAAACCAACAATAATGTGTTGTAAATAATTCATAAAAATGCATGACAAAATGTTCGTCAATAAAAGCATTTATTCCTTGTTCAAAGTCTTGTTTATCCTATTTCAACTCGATAATTGACTATTTTCTACGATATGCCGAGTATTATTAGTTGCTATCGCGCAAAATAACTGCGTACACAAATAAAAAGCGTATTATGGCCTTTTTACTTTCAAGATAAAATATTAAAATATTAAATATTATACTAAAATATTAAATATTTTCGGTCGAATGTATTTTAATATTCGTATAGCAGAATTCAGAACTCTATAATAATTTAGCATCTGCCTACACATATGTATGTTTAAATTATTAAACTATAAGAGTAACAGATAAAATAATTCAAGCAAAATTAAATCAATCAATAAAATTTTTATCTATTTAATCAATAGATATAACGCAAAAATCTTTAAAATTTGAATAAAAATTTTTAATAAAATAATTCAGAAGTGTATAAAGAATTGTATAAAGAATGAAGAGTTTTTCAATACGTATCAAGAAATAAATTATTTGTTTAGCTAAGTTTATTTTCATTTCAATTTTTCTTTTTTTAAATAATCAATTTGCGTTTTGTGCTTCTTATTTATATTGCTAAGAAATTATGACTGATAAGAATAAGTCTAACAATGTTATAATATGTGCGACATTCAGAAGCATTTGTTGTCTTGCTATTAAAATATTTTATTAAACTGAATAGACGAATTCTGTTATATCAACAAATCTTAAATGCATGAAATGTTGCGTACTTTTAACCACAAAATATGGAGAAATTCACGTTTTAAATCGCTTAAATGTTTTCATATAATTGGTTTTATAATTATATAATAAAAACAGTGATAAATCAGTGACGAATCTACATTTGAAATTAATATTCTTGCAAAATTGTTTTCAGAAAAATTTTGTTTATGAATATACATGTAATATATAATATGAGAAAAAAAATAAACCACACACACACACATACATGAAATAAGATAACTAATATTAATTTTATCTTAATCAACATATTAACTAATACAAAATCAAAAGGAAAAGGCTAGACATATCAATTAGAGAGGAAAAATGTGTGATGTGATGTGTAATATGATATGTATATATATATATGTATGTATGTGTGTATACATATAATGTGCATGTTTGGCTTGCCGCCCACGAGGTCTCTGGCTTAAAATATCTGACGTTGTACGTGTTGCTTTTTCCGGGTTAAAGTCCACTTCTTGAAACAAGATTTTCTTTTCTCTAAAATCGTGCATTAAAATTCGCGATCAACGACTTATGTGCATACACATATGTTGAATGTTGACACACGCGTAATAGTCGATTGCACTTTTGCAGCTATTATGCAATTAAAATAATCACTTAGTAAAGAAAAAGAAGAAAAATGTAATATAATGCTTATTATCTTAAAAATTATAATAAAAACCAATCGTTTAATGAATGGAAAAAAACAAGAAATAAATTTAACTTAAAATGTATTGCAGTTCATATATTTCCACTGAAGCCACAACTTTCCGAATGACGTATTACAGAGTCCGGTTCTTTATACATGATTAACACACACGTTGATCATATCCATGTGACGGTCAAAGTCCAACATAGCAGCAAAAGTGCTGAGATACTAGTTATAAAATGGTATTCGACCTTGGTCAGATTAAAAGGCCTTAAAACATTAAATTTTATTTACAAAATTACACATTTTTTATATTGATGCCTCAATAATTTTTAAACTTGATAAATAATTATTCTGTTTATTATCATTTTGCACATGTAGACAATTTAATTTGATAATATTTACATTTAACACTTTATTGTTTGTATTTTGATTGAAATATTGTCAGACAAACTTTGTTTCGTATATAATTTCTTCATAGGTCATTATTTTACGTAATATTAAAAATTTTTAATTCTTAAACTTGTTTTTTAATTCTCTATTTTAAAATTGTCTTTAAAAAAATCTTTAATTTTTAAATTTAATTGTACTTATAATACAATAATTTTTTTAGCAGCTCATTTATAATTGATTTATATCTTTGCGGTTAAATATAGCACATCTCTAATATTTTTATCTAAAATATGATATTTTTAATTATGATTAGACGGCACATATTGCGATTGCATTATGTGCAATTATGTCTAGCGAGTTTTTTGATTGCGAAAAACATTATGTCTTGGTGCAAAGAGTCTTGCAATATCATGTAGAAAGTAGCTCTGTCATACTTCTCTCTCCATCATCTTCATAATAAACTTGAAGGCTGTATTATGCTACGTATTTTAAATTTATCATCAAATAAATCATTACCCAAAATTGTAATATTATAAATAAATTTTATGATATTGGTTTTTGGAAATAATAATTTAATTAATAACAAAATACAATACATTGAATTGATAATATATTGTACAAAGATAAATTCAAATAATAATATATTTGTACTATAAGTTATTTTAAATTTTTTAAAATCTTATTTTGGAATAAAAATTTTAACTCAATAATTAACTGAAAGAATCGATTTATAAATAAAATTTTATTTATTTTAAATTTTATAATTTTTAAGTAATATAAATAAATTATGCAATGTAAAATATTACATTTATATAATAAAGTTTACAAAAATAAGTAGATAAAATAAATAGTATTAAAAATTATAAAAAAACAAAAGTAATTACATTTTTATTGAAAATGTAATAATATACTATATAATAATACACGACATATATACATATACATACACACATATACATATTTATAATCCGATATATAATTTACAATTGAATTTTACTTTGTCAGTTCTCTCTCACACAAAAATGCTAAAATTAATATATCAACGATATAACATTTAAGGATCAAGTTAAGATTGAATTACATTAGAAAAAAATAGATTTGTTCTTGATTTCTATTCTTGCTAGCTCCGTTTCATTGGTGAAATGTTAAATTCCAATTCCAACATTCAATGTGCAATTATGATTTTAATCGCCATTTAGTGTGAGACAGACTGTAAAACCAATGAAGTAATCTTACTGCAGATAATTGTGAAGTCTAATTATTTCTTAGTGATGAGCACAAATTTGTTTATATAGACAAGTGACGTCGGGTGCGCGATATTATGTTGATTATATAGTAAACGCGATAAACTACGTCTCTTCATGCTGTGTAATCAGACAGAGAAATAAGAAGAAATGCCTTATCGCGACGACGTCAATAAGATTTTTTATTTCATTTTATCACACATGCAAATATTTTTTATATAATATTTTCTGTATCGATAATATTTTTGTATTAATTGCATAAAATAATAATGTACTGTTGTGTTTCTTATTAGTGGAATATCACAATTATTTTTGACGTAGATGTTTAAATTTCTGTATCCTGAAAGCAATTATTCGAGAATGATTTTTAAAATGCAGGTTGACTTAACAGTTTTATTATGTGAAACTTTTGAGCAATGTTATAAATCGCGTAATACTAAACAATAAAATTATGTAATTACATAATTAACAAACGTAAATAACAAAATATTTAAGGGAAAAATTTTAACAGTTTAAAAGTGTGCCAAGAACAATTTAAAAGAAAACATTTACAAAGAGGAAGAATCAATAATTTTTATTTGTTTTTTACTTTCTCTCGCATGACTTAACTGACTTTGATATTTTATCTATGAATAATAGAAATTGATATTAAATATACATATTAGATTCTAAAATTGTCTGTTACGACTAACTTACTT